GAGGGAGGTAGTTCCTGTGGTGTTTCAATACCTAAATCCGCTGTCAAAACATTGAGAATCTGCGACTTTGTTGTGGTATTCATGTTTCCACTCGCGTTGGCCAAAGAGAGAGGAACAGGCGCCAGTTCATGTTATAACACTTCTGCAGTTTGGACAGATCGTCCCGAGTTTGCGGCTGTAGCAACTTCCTGTCGGCCCTTATTAGCTTCGTCATTTTCTGCCTATCGGGTGTAGTTTTTTTGTACAAATCAGAGAATGTCTTTGATTTGACCCTTTTAATTGGTGCGAAAAATTCCACCGTTTTCTCCTTCAGTCGGTTAACTGCAAATTCTTCAACTAATTGTCGACCACTTTTTTCACAAGTCAACAGATCGGAAGTGATTTCGTCGTTATTATTATTATTATTATGATGATGATCATCATTATTATGATTATATTATAACAATTATCTTGAAAATTAGCGAACAGTAGTACTTAACATGTAAACATATATCTAATGGAAGGGAAGTAATCGTTGTATTTTTATTCCCAGAATGAATCATTAGAAACTGGTTTTGGTTATAGTTCATATTTGTAATCGGGATAATTAAACTTACAAATATAATATGATAACTAGTACAACATCCGTTATATGTCATTTCAAATTCAACTGACCCTGGAAGACTGTTTTACTATAAAGTATTTGACGTATTGTAAACATGTCTAACCATAATGCCAGGCATCTTACTATAAACACAACCAAACCATTGTATATACCTGTGTTTCTTTGTGTTGTGGTTCAATTTTAATACCGAAATATTATATAGAATGGATCAAAAGACATACCTGTTCATGGCAAATACCCATATAAATCGCATGTAAACATGCCCGCCCTGCGCTTTTGGTAAATATAATGGTAAATGGCTAATTTGGATGTAAGGGAGGTAACTGTCGATAAATACGTCTCTAGCTAACACTAAGGTGTGCTTGATTTATATGTTATATATAAATAATAACTTTGTTTTGAGATGTGCTATCTTTCTTTATAGATCGAGTAATGTTAAAACACACAGTAAAAGGGTTCAGATTGAAAAATCAACCCTATGTGGTTATTGTAGCAAAAATAAAGAAAAAATGCACCCGTTGACCTTTGACCTAATTTTTTAGCCTTATTTCAGCATTTAAAAGGCGACAGCCGGTCTGAATGATCCACCTTGATATCATACAGGACATTGGTGGTGAAAGTTTTGCATTAACAAATTTTGCCAACAGAACCATTTTCCAGGCCTCTTTTCTGAGATCTGAGGCAGACTAATAACAATTCTCCGCATGCACAGTTTCTTTTTCCCGCTTCTATATATTACTGAATAATGTTTAAAGTCCTACGTGGAAAGCTCTACGCACAGCATGTATTTAAGTCCGAACTACAGAACTTAGGTGGCAAACAATGAGTTATATTTGGTGGGGCCACTTCATTTGTAATTTAGGCCACACCAATTTAAAAAAAAGTTCTACGGGAATTACCGCTCTTAAAATCTGAAGTCGAGAAAAATAATACCGCTCCTCAAAAAACATTTCCGAATTCCTGATTTTTTTTATCTGTTTTTAATTTTACACATCGTTGATGCAGCTGAAAACCGAGAGACCGAGAGAAAACGTGTCGGTCTATTTTCAAACGAATTGTTTCATTTAATATGATATTAGTAGACGCAGGCATTGCTGCCTCTATATCAACATCAATATAATCTGAATAACAATGTGGTAAACATAGAATATGCCATTACATAAGACGCTGTAGGATCGTACTTCAACTCAAGATTTTTCCAGAATTCGTTTCCAGAAGAAGTTTCTTTTCAAAGTCAAATACGTAACGAGAAGAAATAACATCCTGAGTGAGACTATTCCAGATATCAATTATTCTTTGAGTAAAGTAATGTTTTCTAATATTTAAAAGACAATGTTGTTTGAGGATTGTTTTACTGTGTTCACGAGTTTTTCCTTGAGAGGCGAGATCTAACAATCCCTCCAACAAATTCGAATCATATAGCCCAGTCATAAACTTGAACAAGTTGATCATTCTTTCATATTTGTATTCCTATATTTAATTTTATATAACTGTGATCCAAATAAGTACTTGTATGCGTGTTTAGATGTCAAGATGAGTTCTTGTTATTACTCAAAGTATTAGTATGTTTTCGCAATAGTTTATTTGATATCATTATTTTGAAATTGTTTTTTCCATCATTTTCAAATGACTGTGATTTTCTACCCAATGGGATAAATAAGCATTGTAACATTTTGTTTTAGTTTATAATTTGATATATTTTTTCATTGAATATAATGTATCTTTCTAATGAAAATAATAAAAAAAAACAAAAAAACTTTCATTTAGTTCTGAAACATAATAAGATCAAAACTAAGGAAAAGGGTCCTTATCAGGTAAATATGGAGGCAGTTCTATAGATTTTTAGAAATGTTACACATCGTTTTATATAATACAAAGAGAAAATAAAATAAAAGTCCTATTTGGATTGGGGCCAGTATTCTAGATATGACAACATAGAACCTTTTTAGAATGATGATGCCAGATATGAATAGAATAGGTAAAAATTGCTTTGTCCCGTTCGCGGGACAGGTGAGAGTGATCCTAAGGTTTGTTTTACCATTCCAGTCATAATTGAAATAGTCTGATGTGAACTGTTTTGAAACACAATGCATGTACGGTGAAAAATGGATATCATTTTCAAGTGAAACATTTTATTCCATGTGAGAATTCAAGATATATATGCAACATATCAATTGCTTTCCATTATTACAGGTATATTCTTCATTTTAACGTTCCCAGTACAAAAAATCTCTTACAAAAAAACAACAACAACAGTACTTACCGTCAAATACCATGTAAACTCTCCAATATTAACACCTTTTCAGGTATCAAAACCCGTAATTGTTAAATTTTACTACCGCTCACTCCAAATTTTACCGAAATTAAAAAAATAAATAAATTCCACCCTCTCGCTCCTTTTTTCCCCAAAATTTCCCGAAGAACTATTTTTCAAATTCGTGTGGCCTTAGCAGAAGAGATTATGATTCAGGTGTTTCGAAATGATCAATAAACAAATAACTACCGAATATTACATTAAGTTATAAGTTTAGTTACATGTACATGTATTTGTTCTCATCTCAGTTGATTCCTCATTACAGTTTTCTTTACCCCTCTATTCCTGATCTCTGCCCCTTCCTGCGGATATTTGCTGCAAATTCTTGATCATACTACCTATTCCTTACACGTTCAGTATCCTTATTCCGCTGCACTGCGGTTTTTCCAATTTCCGTTTGGATATAACTGTAGAACAGCTGGGCTTGGACACATCCGTTGGCCAGGTGGCTCAATCGCGATCGGTTAGAGCGATAGTACACTACGGTTTTCTTTTCAGAAATTATTGATAAAAGCTGTATATACAGTGTATGCTGGAAAAAAAGCAGTTTTCAGTACACTTAGTTTCATATTTGTTTTGCAGTGGTATGGGGATCTTAAATCACTTTAAGCCTAAAGCGTGAAGGAACATAAGCTTTGGTAACGGAAGTCTTAAAACGAGTACCTAAATAGTTATTGCGATTTATTAATAATATAACTTGTCATTGTTTTTCATATGAATAATTTCAACCATAAACTCTCAAAATAAGAAATAAATAAAAAGGCATAAAAAAATTTAAACTTACTTAAAATGATTAAAACATTTCAAATTCTGCTTGTAAATACATTCAAGAAGCGCAATTGTTGCAAAAATAATAAATAGAAATAAACAAATATTGAAAATATTTTAACATATTTTATTAAACGCTACTTTTAAATAGATTTTAAGAACCGCCATTGTTACATACGATACAAATATTAGAACATAAGGATGTGACAATCTGTTGTATGTTGCAGTCTCCGATAGGATGGCTGGAGTTGGAGTGAGTCACGAAGATATGAGGATTACTGTACAACTGGGTGATGTGTCGCAAATCGAGGCGTGGGTCCGTACTGGTCTGGACCTGGCTCGATGGAGGGACAGGAATGGTGATAACGTATACCATATCTATGTGAAGTATGGTTACCATTGTGATGCTTTATGTGTAATGGAGGCCATACCTCGTGTCTGTCCTACACATTCATCGCTCATTACAGAACCTAACAGTAGAGGAATTACACCTCTCGTAAGAGCTTGTCAGTTCTCCACGTTATCAGATGACTGGTTCACTCTGGCCGTCCTGGAGTTCCTCATCCATCACAGCCAAAACATCAATTACGACCAGCTACTACGTATGGCACAACACAGAAAGACTCACAGATTTCTGTCATGGAGGAAGAAAAATCCATCAGGTAGGTGTTGTTGTTGCTTTCATTATACCCCCGCAACGAAGTTAGGGGGGTAAACTTGAATCACCCTGTCTGTCTTTATTGAAACTCCACTTTAATGATAAGTATATTATGAAGTTTTGCACCGGCATTTTAATTTCAGATTTCTACACTGTTTAATGGAGTTACGGCCCTTTATGCGAAATAACATTTACGCAAAACTCCATCTTAACTAAGAGGCAGATTTTGTTGAAAGTTCACTTGAATAAACAACTACTAGCGTCTGCGGGGGAATTAATTATCCTCTGAATGGAAGTTTCGTTTTTTTAAGAAAAACGTTCCTATTTTGGTCAGGTTATGCATAATTCGAACCGTAATTCGAACGGAATCGACGAAAATATGAACAGAAAAGAAAATATTTTCATGGAGACCATTTAAAAAGTATAACGAAAATAAAAATAGGTGTTCCGAAATAGTAAGCGTCAGCAAAACCGTTAATTAAATCTAGTTCAACTCCAACAAATGTCGCTTCCTCAAAGCGGTAACTCGGGCAGTGACAACGAAACAACAGGTCACACTAAGATCAATACCGAAAACTTCTACCGTCAAATAATACACGTAATAACATTTTTCCCAATGAGATCATGACAGCTACCATAAAACTTGGCCACAGTCGACATGAGCCTCGGGAACAAGCTCTTGAAAACTGAATCGGCTCTTACATTTAAACTGTAAACACCGAACGATTGGGGGAGCATGGGAGTTAAAACCAAGAAATGGAAGCTTCAGGGAAAAATCGAAAATCTTTATAGTGCACCAGCCCGGAGGTAAGTTTGTAAGTAAAAATCAAAGAAACTAGCTGGTGTAGAAGATGCTAGGTTTCTTTGAATTTTAGTTTATAAAATCGTTGAGATCAATGAATTTCTTATTGTTTAAAGATACCACAGCGATCGGCGAAATATCTTTAAAGAAAACTGAAGGGGTTGGCAAACGTTATATTACCAATCCTGATAGGTTCTTCAATAAAAACAGCCTCATATGAAAACAAAAACGAGTCAGCCGGAAGAAAGTCACAATATGTAGAAAAATGACACAATTTGTGCTCATAGAAATGCAAGAAGTCACATACGATCGGTCTCAACACCAAAAATATCTTAAAGGTCTCCATGTTAACCTTTCCTTCTTTATTTTTATCAATTTTGAGTTCGAATTACAGTTTTGTCAAACAGGAACTCCATCATTCTCCCGATCTCGTCCTCAGTAGGACCAGGGCTGAAGGTAAACTTGTGCTATATTGAAAACGAAGTACGATGTCTAGAAATATAATAGAATTAATGTTAGCAAACAGCACGATACTGATTTCAGGGTTGCCAGAATCCATCCGAAGGACAACTGATCAGAAAATCATGAGATACATCAACACGGTGGAGTCTATGGACAAAGAAGCGGCAAAACGTTACAGGGATGCCATGGCGAAGGAATGTGGCAGATCTCGCAGTATTAGGATCTATTATGTTGGGTTTAATGGGGTAGGCAAAAGTACCCTCTGTAGAAACATGAGAGGAGTTAGCACACAGGGATTGACGAGCACTGACCTGATGGAGGCCTTCATACAGCGCCAAGTTATCAATACAACGACGGGGAAATTGAGGAATATAACAGACGACATGGAACACCATCTAGCCCTTGATAAAATCAATAGAGAGATGGCTTTTGAGAGAATGAAACGAAAAGCAGCCCTCGATAAGGTCAAAGAAGAAATGGAATCGGAGAAGGGCCAAAACCAGGTTGACTTCGGTCGTGGGATTAGTGGTAAATGAAATTCTCTATCAGGATTACAATTACGTAAAATGAAATGCTATTGATTTATTTTAAATTACAGTATTCTCAAGTGCAGACGAGTATGAAACTGATGATCAGTTCCAATTATGTTTTAACTGCCTCTTTGTTAATTGTCCTCCTAATTTAAAAAAATAATATTGTTTCACTGCGCAAAAATCATTGGGTTTTTTCTGCGCCATTCAAATGAAATAGTCATATTAAATTAAGTTCAATAATCTTGATTAATGGAACATGGAGCATTTCATCAATTTTGCAGTGCTGAAATTCATTTTGTATAACAAAATATCTTTTATATACCATATTGTTCTTATGATATTATCATTATTATGTAATTCTGTTTAGGTTTCCTGTCAAGTGTTAAACAGAAATTCATCAATCCTTTTGTGTCTATGTTCTCTAAGAAAAAACACACAGACAGTAAGTTTATCTATCTATGTTTCTTTTTAATATAAAATTATGTAGTTTAAGGCCGTAATTGTTCTGTTGATAATATCTTTAAAGATTTTGAAGTAACAACTTAAGCTACTTACACTGAACTCTGCTATCAAGTTCATTATGGAAAGTCATTTAGTCAAATATACCACCATTCATGACATGCTGTATCTATTACCAGACTTCGTAGGTGCAATCACATGTGTGTGTGTTCTACGTTCATGTTACACCAATTGTTTGTTTGTAAGATCCAGAAAGCTGCGCCATGACAGAAGAACTTGCTCCTGGTGAAGAGACGGTTCATCTCTCCGAGCCAAAGCCAAGTCAATCTCTAGAGCAGGAATCATCAACCGGACGTGACGGAAAGGCTTTGGATCGACAAAAACGGGATGAGAGATCATATGACTGCGCCGTTCAGTTAGACGTCCTTCAACTGGAAGAAATGGACGAGGAAGCATATGTATCGATGTGGGATTTCGGAGGAGAGGAGGTACAATAAATTGGACATTTATGTTCTGACCTGCTTTAGAAAAGTCACTGATGTTAAACAGAAAGAAAAGATTTTTTTTTTTAAATTAAACATTTACTTCAGGTTGGTAAGTATTGATTATGACAATTTTCTTGTTACACAACCAATAATTGTTTGTATGTGACCTTCGGTGATAACTACGGTTTGTAATCTGTCACCTTCATCAGACAAATGACCAATGAACCGTACGAGTTGTCCACAAATTGATGTCGATTCGGCTCCACTGTAAGCGTGTGTACAATAGTTGCTATATATGTACCGAATTGGTTTGATTCAGCTACGCTTTGTTTAATAATTGGTCATAGATGCGCGTGAGTCTATGAGCCCCCTCATCTCGATTTAGACCTGGCCTACTGCGGCATATCCAGATGGCTTCCTTTATCTGCCGCTTGAACAGATTGCTATCTCTGTCCAATACTTTGGAAATATCCCAGTTAATCACATGATTTTTCTGTGTGGCATGGTCTGTGATTGCCGATTTATTTATCTGGAATTCCGACTGCTTCCTTTTTTGATCTGGTGAATTTCCTTCTTTCTTGTGTTTCCGTATCTTTCCGGTGTTCACCATGGCGGACCCCAATTCCTCTTCTTGTGGGGCTTGTGAGGCTTCGGGGCTGTTGCTATGCCATGCCCGCGATATATCCTCTGGATGGTTTCGGATATACCCTTTATAATAGGGATGACCACTTGACATTTGGTTTTGTTCTTATCGTTAATTTTCCTTTTCTTGTTCTTCTCCTTACTTTCACACTGTTTTTGTACCCGTTTTAGGGCCCATTCCGGATATGCACAAATTTGCATTGCCCTAGCGATGTGATTCTGCTCTTATATTTTGTCCTGTTGTTCTATGACTAGTGTATCCCATTTGTTGAGCAATGTGCCTACGGTGCCTAACTTCTTGTGCAAAGGATGGTGAGATTTGAAGTTCAGGTATTGGTCCGTATGGGTCTTTTTGTTCTATAGACCAATACCTTCATGGTTCCGTCTTCTTTCTTTACCAGTAGAGTGTCTAGGAAGGGCATTGTGCCGTTGGTTTCTTCCTCACATGTAAATGTGATGTTGTTAGGTACATCTATGGTGTTGATATGGGTGGTCAAGTACTTTTGTGACCTCTTCTTGATGATCATTTGTCTGATAAAGGTGACAGAGTACATACCGTACTAGTCATCCAAACGTCACATAGAAACACTTATTGAGTGTGTTGCATGATTCTTTTAACAATTAATACTTACCAACCTGAAGAAAATGTTTAAAAACAGTTGAAACATGACTCGTACATATGTTTGTACAATAAATAAGTTACCTAGATAAATGCTAATATACAATATTATTTTAACATCAACTTTAGTTATCTACAATTTTTATACAGATGCCCCTTTACTGTTTCACGCCCGATTTGGCAGTCGATCCCCAGCCGTCTTGATGAAAGGCGAGTGCGCTGTTATTATACCATCCGACCAACCAACCCCTGTTTATCTCTTATAGAATATATTAATACGACACAGCTGTGATGCAGTGTGACTCATTTTGGACATACTGTATCCATTACGATACTTTAAAGGTGCAATCCCCTGTGTGTTCATTTATTGTATTACCTTTAACATTACTCTATTTACAGCTATTTGTCAACACAAACCATCTGTTTCTCAGTGGAGATGCAGTTTATCTGCTGGTTTTTAATTTGTTGGAGTATGAGGACCCGAGTGGACGCATGCGTAGTGAGTCATTGCACTGTTTCACAGAACTAAATTGGAGACTATATTTCTAAACAAGTGAACAATTTTCAATTTGGTCAAAATGTTTTTACATGGGTTCTGAGTAGTCGAAATTTATATGATTTCTGATTTCAATCGAATTCGGTATGTATGTGTATTGTGGCACTGCTACAGTACTTCCATACGATATGTCTTGACTTTTATTGGACAATATGCTCGCGGAGTCCTTAAATGATTGAATTTTGGATTTTTTCTTATTTTTATCAAAATTGATTTGTGTATATGGCACAATATTGGACAAGAAGTTCTGAATGGTAAACGTTTTGATACTGTCTTATTTCGATCAATACTGGTTTGTGGACCTGCAAATGCATTTTAGCTCACCTGGTCCGAAAGGACCATGGTGAGCTTATACCATGCCGTAGCGTCCGTCGTCCGTCCGTAATCTTTTCCTTTAAAACGCTACTAGTCCTGAACGACCCGGTAAATTTGACTAAATTTGGTTTAGAGCATCCTTAGGCCAAGGGTACTCAATTTTGTATAAAACGGTGGGTGTGGCCCCCTTTGGGGCAGAGAAGCGGGACCAATAGGGGGATTAGAGGTAAAACTTAAAAAAATCCTTCTTCTACCGTAGGGATAAAGTGATTTTATCTAACATAGTCTCGATCATCCTTGGGCCAAAGGCTCTCAATTCTGTATAAACGCTGGGAAAAGAGGGGCTGGTCCAATAGGGGAAATAGAGTTAAACGTTTAAAATTCTTCTTCTACCATTGATATTAAATTTGGTCTGGAGCATCCTTGGGGCCAAAGCACTCAATTTTGTGTAAAAAAAGGTGGATGTTGCCCCCTGGGGGCAGAGGGATGGTGCCCAATAGGGGAAATAGAGGTAAACCTTTAAAATCCTTCTTCTACCACAGGGATTAGGGGATTTCATCCTAATTTGGTCTGAAGCATCCATTGGCCAAGGGGACCCATTTTGGTGTAAAGGTTGGGTTTGGAACCCCTGGGGACAGAGGAGAGGGGCCCAATAGGGGAAGAACTTTGAGGTTTAAATCTATAAAATTCTGTACCATTTGAAGGATTTTATCGAAATTTGGCCTAGAGCATCCTTGGACAAAGGGCCTTAATTTTGTATAAACGATTGGTGTGGCCCCTTTCATTGCAAAGGGGTTGATGCCAAAAATGTGAATTTGAGGATTAATTTTTAAAATCCTTCACTTTCTGTACCATTTGAGGAATTTGGCCTGGAGTATCCTTTGTCAAAGGGGACTAAATTGTGTATAAATGGAGGGATGGATGGTCTTTAAAATCCTTCTTTCTCTGTACCATTGGAGGGATTTCATCCAGAGTTGGTCTGGAACATTCTTGGGCAAAGGGGTCTTAAATTTGTATAATTGGAGGGTGTGGATGGTCTTTAAAATCCCTATTCTTCTGTACCATTGAAGGGATTTTTTGTAATAAGAATAATTTCACATGGTTGCTTTTTTATTCAGGTGAGCGATAAGGCCCTCTGGGCCTCTTGTTATTTATGGCCTCCAAACACAAAAAATGCCTTATTGATAACCAACAAATTATGAACCATTATATTTGAATAGCATGCAAATTAAGCGTCAGGAGCAATTTATAATTCGTTTATATATGGGGGTTTTCCTTATAAAATTAATGCAGAAAAGAATTAAGTTATATGGATAAGTAACAACAAGACACCTACCATGGCAATCACCTGTTAATTATTTTTTTTTTGTTTATTTGCACACAATATGTGGTGTCATTGTATTACGGAAAAAAAATGTTTTTTAATTTTTAATTGATTAATTCATATTCAATGCAATCAAACATTGATAGATGTTGCTGTATGCTTTGAAAGTACGGGGCGCATTGCAAATGAAACGTGTTTTTTAGAGCTGATTATAACATAGAGTCTATTTTTCTGTAGACTACTATTAAAGGACATTGTGACGGAGAGGAAAGTTTAGTTAACCTTAAATACATATTTTTTGATTTCGCAGTCTAATAATATATCTAAACATTACAGAATCCCTTTTCTGAAATGCATTTCACTATGTTAGTGAGTAAGCCGTGTGGCATCCCATCGCTTAACATCACTGTACAAATAGAATGCTTTGAATGTGCTCTGCCTTTTTTCGAATATACACATGTTTATGCTAAAAAAACATTTTTTTAGAGAAAAACGAAATAAATATTAGCAACAGTTTATAAACATACATACGTACTTGTTTAAGGTAGATTACATTGTTTCATTGCAGGTATGGTTAAGTTCTGGCTGAAATCGGTGAACAGTTTGTCGAAAGAACGAACAAGTAAAACGAAACAGTCACCACCAGTTATAATGATTGGAACATTTCTGGATAAGATTCCTGGGACGGTCAGTGAAAGTGTTGTCATAAACTCTGGTCATTATTTGCGCATTATTATGTCTTTTTATGTCAAATTTTGCACGTCTGCCATTTGCATTAAAACTACACTTGGTAATTCTTGTGAATATTAATCTAGGCACATTGGCCTAATGCTTTATTTTACCTGCAGCAATGGGAGAAAGATGAGAAGGCAGCGTACATCAAGGAAAAGCTATTTAATGATCCTGACTTGAAAGCAATCTCGGAAAAACATGTTGTCGCCTTCTTTCCTCTCAGTAATGTGGCTGGTAACCGTGGAAAAATCAAGCAGATATGGAGAGCCGTGCTAGAAGCAGCGCCCTTCCAGTCTCACTGGCATACCGAGGTACCTCTGGCCTGGCTCGCAATCGAAAGAGAAATCATGTTACTGAAAAGTAAAAATGTCAAAATTCTCACTCTGCAAGACGTTTTCAACATAGCCAAAAATCTTGAATTCGACATAGAGGACTTGGAAAACTGCGTCCTAGACGCACTGAGGTATATTTTCAACTTCTTTTGTCATAATTTTGTATAAAATAGGATTAAGTGTACATTCTGTCCATTCTCACATTTATGGTTTTACCGTATTTAATTTAGAATATCAATAAAACGGTAACACTTATGTTATGATCTCATCGTGACATGCTTTATTCAAAGTACAGAGTGAGTATATCACACATTCAGCAATGGCTGATAACACGGAATAATGATGAAGTCAATCAAATACTTGGAAATGTTGCAGTTAAACTATCGCATTTTTCGCCCTCCGAAATGAGGACTAATTTAGCATTAGAGCAAACGTTAGAATACAACATAAAAACATAGCAATCACATGTGAAGGGCACAATTAACAGTTGGCAAATACAGATTTTACTTGAGAAGGGCGAAAGTTTGCCTGGGCAAAATCTTCAATGAATACAGTAATGATGTGGTTAAATGTTGTTTTTTTTCTTGATTCCGAGTCTTCTTTACACTTTTAGACACATGTTGGTGAAGACAATAGGCAAGTGTTATTGTCAGCATTGTGATCTCATTTGATAGTTAACCTTTTGTTTCGTGAGCTATTAAGATCGCTGTTTTCTTTATTATGATCATTTGTGTCTTGTTATTTCGATATTTCTACCCCGGGTTTTAGCTTTGAGGACGTTATGTTAGTTGGATGTTACCTAGCTTTATATGGAATATGAGCTCGATGAATCAGAATACCTGGTCTTTTTCTCCTTGTACTTTATCAAGAGCTTCCATATAAATCTTTCTTCTATTCAATTCTTATAATTTTATAGGTTTTGTTTGGGAAATCCATTTGATTATTTAGATAGATACTAGTGATAGCATTTTATTTTAATTGAATATTCACTTTCAGATATTTCAATAGGACTGGCTTAGTACTCTCCGTGGTATTGAATAATGCCAACTGTAAGGTTGTTATTAATCCGATGTGGTTAGTGAAAAACTTTAGACTGATAATCACTGTTCAGAAATTCCAGACACGACATGACTCACTGGATCACTACAACAAGACAGGGGAGATAACTCTTGACCTCATCAGGTTACTTTTAAAACAAGGTGATGAGGAAAACCACTTCCCCGACCATGAGGAAGTCCTCGTGTACTACATGGAGCGCCTGGCACTTATCACCCGCCCGCTTACAAGGGAAGGACAGGCAACCGATGACGTATTTGTAGTTCCATGCATCCTTCCAGCCGCTGACCCAGAGACGCTTCGACACATCATCGAGAGCCCTGGAACAACAAAGACATCAACATTGTCGTTTCTATTCCGAAACGTCTTCGTGTCGTCCCCTGTTTATGACAAGTTACTCGCGTCATGTATCTACTGTTTCGAGGCAGCTAAACTAGCAGGAGAAACCCAGTGTCTCCAGAGAGGATTCGGCTGTTTCCAATTAAACCCGCGCTGGGATATGGTCATACACTGCGAAGACTGCATTATTAAGGTGACACTCTTCTCCGCGAACAAGATAAGTAAAGTAAAGCCCGGAGAGGGCTTCTATGTGAAAAATGTCATCGCAACAATGTTAAACAATGTTCTGATCACAAACCAACAGCAGCATCTAGTTGACACATTTGAACTTTGTCTTGATAAGTCTTACTTTGTGCTTCCCGCAGAAGAGCCAGTTCCCGAAAATGTTGTATCACAATCAAGTGAACCGATTGTGTGTCCCGGACCTGCAGGTACCCAGACGGTATCGCAAGATGATCGAAATGTGTGGTTTGTCGACCCATCTTCAGTAAGTAAACATTTCATGTGTGGACAGTATGTAGTTTAACTACAGAATCTGAAATGCAATCTCATTATACAGAATGCTAACAGTTTATATTACATATCTGTTTAAAATGTAAATTATCTGACGATTCTTCATTTCAAATAGACACTGATTTTACTGTTTACGTAATTCTTGTTTTAATGTTAAATTTATAAAGAAAACCGCGATCGACAGTTTTTATTAGTATTGTACATGAAGCAATTTTCTATATGTTTGTCAACTTATAAAAATCGAAATCGGAGGTCCGGCAATATTCGATGAATCTCGTGTAAGCAATACTAATATGTTCAGATTATGGCATAGCAAAATGAATATATCTTGATTAAATAACAGTATATACATTAACACATATTTATTTCCTGATTTATAGGTGAAGGTTCCAACAGAAGTGTGTAAGTATGAACTTAATACTGAGTTGTGAATTGTTTGAGAGTTATGTCTAATTTATTTGAGGCTATTCCTTTCGAAGGAGAACTATTTTTTCATCCCGTAGTTGCATTAAGGATCATCGAACAACATTTCATTCTGAAAAGAAACCCATACCATTTTCAAATTTTATAAAATAAAGTCAGAATTACGGGATTCGAACCCTTGACCTCCGATCAAATTACAGTCGCTCTTTTTTCCTGTAGAGCTCCATGGCCAACGGTAATCATTTAACTCTGTCCCACCAGTTTTATCCACACCAAAATGAAGGGAGGTTATTAAAGTGGAATCATCTAATATTTTGCCTACAGGTGGACAGACATGCTGAATTTGAAAAAAGTAATCACATGTGCGATATGCTTAGGTAACAAAGTAAAGCAATGCCCGCATTTGTTACGTTAAATAAGATAAATTGTGTGAAGAACAGTTGTTTCCATTTTCTTTTATTCCTTTGCTTCACACGTCACAACTAATGTTCTGTCTTTCATATTAAGCCCTCCCTTTCACCGCCGATATGTTGGAGAAGCGACTTACTCCCAGACAAATGAGCCATGTTGCCAAATGCATCGGTACAAGTTACTGTGTGCTTTTCATTGAAATTGGTTTGGAAATGGATGAAATCGAAAACGTGAAACATGATTGCCGACAGCTGAGCACTAGGACTCTCATTACACTTCTGATTAGGAAATGGAGCATCAAGTTTGGACCAAAGGCTGTGTTTGGTCGCATCTACCACGCCATGAAGTCGAGAGAAATAAGCACAGACAAGCTTTTTACTGAAATGGAGAGAAAACTCCCTACGGCCAACGCCCCTCAAACATCTAATTCCGGTAATAAATAACTCATACATTGAAACATACGATGTTTGTCATGACATATGAAGAGTTGAATTTGGTGGTTACCTGTGATACTTAAATAAGTATTTTATTAAGGTGATGATTTTTTTTTTCCATAGGAAGACTGAAGCAAGTCAATGACGAATACATGTTGGTAGGAGACATTGACAAGATGGAAGCTTACAAAGGCAAGGCAGACATTGAAGGAGACAGGACGAACATTGAGGAAGACAAGACAGATGGTGACAAAGTCAAGACAGAAGGTGATGGATGGAAGATGGAACGTGGCGAAAACATTATAGGAGTTGACGAAATCAAGGTTAAACGTGTCGAAACTATGATTGGAGAAGACGAAAGCAAGATGGAACGTTGCAAAAATGTGATTGGAGGAGGCGAAAGCAAGATGGAACGTTGCAAAAATGTGATTGGAGGAGGCGAAAGCAAGATGGAACGTTGCAAAAATGTGATTGGAGGAGGCGAAAGCAAGATGGAACGTTGCAAAAATGTGATTGGAGGAGGCGAAAGCAAGATGGAACGTTGCAAAAATGTGATTGGAGGAGGCGAAAGCAAGATGGAACGTTGCAAAAATGTGATTGGAGGAGGCGAAAGCAAGATGGAACGTTGCAAAAATGTGATTGGAGGAGGCGAAAGCAAGATGGAACACGACAGGTATGATACAGAAGGTGAGGAAAGCTACTTGTTTATTACCTGGTGAATCTAACTTAAGTGAAACAGCCAGTTTTAGACATTACATTGCAAGGTCTGGTATTTCACTCTATGATAATACAAATTTTATATTACCCAAGTAATCCAAATTCATTTACGGCTTTAGGACATCGGTTATAAAACATCCATTTTAAACAAGAATGAAACATTAACCGCAGTTCTATCCTCTAGACATGTGACGTCATTATTCCGTTCTGTCCTCCATGTTGTTTTGTCCACAGTTATTGTTTGGATGAATTTGTTTCAGGAAACAAATTGAACATAATTATGTATGTGATGAAAATATAAAATGTGGATATGTAATAAAAGCAATACCACACATTTTTGTGAATCCCTAGTGAAATATAGGCACGTGCTCAATAAACGAGGGCTATCTAGAAAGTAAAATGAACACATATGTGTGTTATTGCCTATATGATGATAAATGGAGGTTTAATCTTCCTTTGATATATTTAAGAAATTTAACAAAGAGGCAACATAATCCAAGTTCAACACATATGTGTAAAAATTTCACGACAAACGTTTAGAAAGTTGCACCTGAACGAGTATGATCTGAAAAGTATTTTCTTCTTTTTAATTTCGTAGCTGATGTGTATATCCATACCTTAAAAAATGTTTATTCAGAGTGGGAAAGACCAAAGCCAAAGGGTGACAAACACAAATCGGTCGCAGACGAAGAAAAGATTGAAGATTACAGAGGCAAAACAGAGGTTGGCGAGGCGGAAGGTAGGTAGTTGATATATGACGAAAGCTATGGAAGGACTATATAGATCGAATTAAAAGGTGAATTTGTTTTGTCTTTCACAAAATAATTATTTCAATTGTTTTAGAATTATGTTTCAGAGTTAAATTAAGTACGCATTCTTCATGATTCATAAAAAACATGCATAGACAGTGGGTTTTTTTCAAAATTCCGGATAGAAACTGAATATTGTAAGACATGATCAATATTTCGCACTCATTATTATTTTAGATGCTACAAATGCGTACGACGACAAATCTCCAACCACGGATGAGTTGAGCATCATCGCAGGCAAGATAGGAATGTCGTACATCATTTTCTTCTTGGAACTTGGTCTGCAGATTGAGGAAATAGAGCAGGCGATCCTGGACCATTCCACGAAAAGGTCTGCATTCCTAAGCCTACTACAACAGTGGGAGGACGCGTATCGATGGGAGGCCATGTTCACCTGGATTTACAAAGCCATGCGGGAGGCAAACCTAGACGATACGGCCTTGAGAGACGAGCTGTCATCAACCGCTGGCTAATACAGAAGTAGATTGCAGTTAATTAAGTTGTTCATAAGGATTACAGTTGTTAGGCCAGTAACTCTTTTAAGTGATTGTTAGTTTTATTTGGTCGATATGAGCAATGTAACAAATGCATTTAGCATTTCATTTTAGTCAGTTTTAATATGTGCTTGCAACGTCAGCGTATTGTTTTATTTTCTTTCTTGTATAATACTTCACGTTGTAACTGACTCAGCTTAGATAACATCTGTCCAGCATACTACAATATCAAGTACATATTACATATTATTGAGCAAACAAACGAAGCATCACTCATTCCATTGTGTTTTGCAATAGCATGCTTGGTGATATTTTATTATTTGTGCAGGCTATGTCAAGGCAGTATTAAAGGTTAAGATACCAACATGGACGAACTTACAGACCCTAATGGTATGTACATGCATACTAGTCTGTGATATATAATTTTATATTATTAACAGCTTAAGGGTAAATAAAGCCATTCCGGATTTTTTTTTTATAGTTTTCCTTTTAGGTTTTATTATGATTTTTTACTTTATTCCAGATAAGTTGTCCTATACTGTCAATATAATTTGGTCGACGAAAGAAATGAAAATTGAGATATCACGGAGTTGGCCGATCTATTTTTTTAGCCTATTTTATATATGACACTAGATACTTTTCAGTACCTGTGTACCAGCATCTTAATAAGTTGTTACGTGAACTTTTTAAAAGCTTATCAAGAAATAAATACTTGTCTGGTGTCCATATAATGTCAAATATATAAATTCCAACAATGTATATCCATGGATGCAAAAACAGTACACGTATAAATGCCGTAGGTTCATTCCGAAGAGTTAACAATGAAATTTGTAGTCGCACGATACAATTGAAGACCATAAACATTAATTGACGGCACGGAACTGTGTGGAATGTAATTTTTAACATAAAAATTGTATGGCAGAGTGTTAAGCCAACAAACAAACATTTAACGCCAGTAAAGAAGAACACACAAAACCACGGTGAGAGATCGAACGTTTAATGGCGGAAAACGGAAAAGCAGCACATACGTCTAACACATAAAACGGAGCCCGGTCCGGGATCTCCGGAACCATAATAACTAACATACATTACACTGGCGTAAGGCAAACGAGCATGAGAAGGGAAGAATTTCGGATGTGACATATCCCTTTTGAAAATGCTTTATGTTCCTTGATGTTCAAAGCTACTAAATCTGCAATTCATTATGTAATGCTTAATATTGACCAACAAATATCAGATGTTGAATAACCCTCTTCTTGTGATGGTCGTGAAACACTTCATGTTTAGCTGTTTCAACTGGAAGATATTCAAAACCTTGTATATATATTTATCATAAATGACTCTCTGAAATAGGAATTTCCCCCTTTTGTAATGCAAAGTGTTGTTCACTGTGACGTCAGGCCCCAGTTGTGTTAAGAAGGTGATTCGCTAATCACGATTTAACGACATTTTTAAACCTGTTATAATTTGGTCAGATTACAGGGTAAAACATCAAATTTTGGATGTAATTTTATTGGACTAAACTATTTGCTGTATGAAAAGTTTTAACTTGGTTAATGGTTTCATTTTAAGGATTCGCAGAAAAGAAAACTTTTCCGCTAACCACTGACTAAGCTGATCACCCTTTGAACAACTGTGCTCACATCCCCATTATCTAGTGTTGTTAATGGTTAATTAAATAATTGAGCAGTTGTGATAATATCCAAGTGTAATTGTGATATGCGACATGTAACCAGAATTATCCAGACTAGTATGGTAAACTAATTGTACGTATAATGCCTTGTTAATGGCGAGTATTGAATTAAATATGTGATAACAGACATTAAATATAGTCGACTAAACACACGTCCATGTTATTGTTTGTGTAATGTGAGATAGTTGACAACCTCAAAATTCGAGGTATTACGCTCTTTTATGTTCTCATTCCCCCATAGTTCGTTTATTACCTCCCCTTAGGAACTCTTTCGTGTGACCCGTACAGGTCATACATTCCTCTGCTTATTTAACAATTTTTCATCACAAAATTTGAATATTTCCCATCGTTAGATTTTGTATATGTTGTTTAAACACGTCTGTTATATATTCTCAACTAAAAATATTTTCTGTTGCAATTTGTTTGAGGTGAAACCATAGAATGACTAGACTCTAACATCTGCAGGTCAAATTAAAGGCCATAAGCGTTTTTTGTCTATCATTCATGCATTTATAAAAACATCCAGTGATTTTTCATGGAGTCAATTTTAATGCTTTCAAAGCAATTGGATACAACTCGCTTGTGGCCTTAAATGCAGATGTTAATCTTTGAACAGTTTGGTGAGTAAGAAACTGGTTTATAAGTATATCAGACCAGGTATGATATATTGATGCATTTTTGTTTGATGACAGCTTTATGTAAGTTCATATTTACAAAAAAAGTAAAACTGATATCTTTGACGTATTCTTTGTCTTTTTTATTTTCATTTTTTTATTCCTACTGGGGATAGTACGGAGTAAGTTAAATTAACAACAATGCTATCAAACATTACAAATACAAAGATGAAATTAAATGTGTAGTGCTGAAAGTTTACATTGTGAAAAAAATCCAACGAGTTAAAACAATTTATGTCTGGTCTGCCAGCTCATCAAAGTCTTCCCATTGTCTATCTTTGCTGGTAGTTCACGTTAGCAGAAATTTACAGGTTACTTCCCAACCACGTCGTAGTATTTACCTATGAAAAGCAAATTTAACATTTAATACCTTAATGAGATATTTCATGTATACATCAGGGGGAAATCTCATAAACTAACTTAAATATTTTATCTACTTCTGGGATATCTTATAAAGAACGGGTATGTCTATTGTAATCTTAATTATCACAATTAAATAACGTCATGGACTGTAGTGTCACTTTTTACGCCGGCATTAATACCGAAAGTGTATACACAAGACATGAAATATTGTTACAGACGATATCATCGGATCAATCATGATAACAATACTCAGTAAAATACCCAAATTCCCAATAATGGCATTCATCAATTACGAGAAATAAGTTTAAGATGATATTATGATCAGCTAATATAAAGAACTATTAAGAAGTAAAAGCGATAAAAGAATATAAGATTAATTCATTTAAGTGATTGTGGGTTCGAAATGAAAATTGCCAAGCAAGAATAGTCATATTATTTGTTTTTTTATTTTCATTTTAATGTGCAATATACATCTTCATCAAATTAGCAGATATCATAATCACATCATAAACAATAGCCTCATTACCAACACATCTCACAGACATGCATCATCCTCATCATCATTCTCATCATCTTCATCATCACTTTATTTTTATATAAAATAACATCTCATCATATTACATACAATGCATCATCATCATCATCAGCAGCAGCAGCAGCATCATCATCAAAGCAGTATCATTCAATATACTTCCTTTCATTTTCGATTCATCATAATGTCATTGTATCGTCATAATCATACAGAGAAAAAATACAAATCAAAACTGGTCATTACCATAAATACTCGCATCATGTACATGGGATCATCATCCTCACTGTTATTATCAAGAAAACAAGAACAGCAAAAAATATACAAGGCATGATTTCATCACATCCTCATCAGCATAATTCATTACCGCATGTCATCCATACTCTATATCTCATCATTCCTACACATTATATTTTGATTTCCTTTCACATGTCACATGACTCTCACATCCTGACATCATACACATAAAGTTGAGGTAGCAGTAACAAAACAAATAAACAATAAATTGTCTATTGTACACCTGCAGTGATAAATAAGGTCAGATTAACATGAATGTATATTGCACTTTATTGGCTGGACAGACAATAGAATGTAGGAAGAATTAAAGACGTTTAAAGAAAAGAAAAGAAAAAGAGAAAAAGAAATAGAAACAAAGTGGAAGAAAAGGTTGGGAGGTAGACAAGACATAATATTTTCAGCTTTGCCAAGGGCTGGGAGAAGCCTAGTTGATATATAAATAACAATAACACTGGTACTAATAATAATAATTTACAAGTAAAAAACAACAAGAGTATATTATAAATCAATCAATTGTTTCCATTTACGCCATTCTATATCAAATTTTTCCTTCGCAGAGTCGCCCTTACCAGTTGCAATATATTTTTGAACTCTATAATTGTCTTTAATTATGTTAATTAATGAATTTATATGTAAAGAATTGTATAAACATTTCATTCTGTATATGTACTGCTTGATAATAATGATAATTTCATTATCAACCCTGTTGACATGAGGAGGATTAAAAGATAGCAATCCAAAGAGAAAAGATTTTTTGTTTATTGAAAAAGGAATAAGTAATGCCTGTAATAGCATTTCAAAACTTTGTAGAAAATTCTGTACTTCATTCCCACAAAATATGAGTGAGAGTTTCTCTTTCAGAATTACATAAAATACAAAGAGGGGAGGTAACCAGGCCAATTTTACAAAGGAAAGAATTTGTGAGGATGTGATGAACCACTCGGAACTGAAACCAATGAAGCTTTGTATTTTTTTGTAGCTTGGAAAGGAATTTTGAAAATGTTTGCCCATTCTGTATCAATAATATCATCAAAGATTTGGTTCCATTTCATTTTACCAGTTGGTATTGCATTATTCCTAATCAAATCATCATAAAACATTTTCGAACCTCTGGCATACTTGAAAAAAGGTTGTATGTTTACTGGTATAAAGGGGGCACATATGTTAGATTTAGTTAGATCATAAGCTGAGATAAACCCCTTTATTGAAGATGTGAAGCTGTGGTACTGCAGAAAATTTGTCACAATCTGATATTTATGTGAAAACTCATTAAGGGTATAAAAAGAACCTGCAGAAGCATCTTTTAAAACATCATATATGTTAACCACGCCTTTCTTATACCAATCCCTGTAAAAAATTGTTTTTCCCCCAATACATATGTTTTTGTTATACCAAAGTGGTATTTTCAAGAGTAACTCATCCTTTCCTAAGTCGTCCTTTCGCAGACTGTATTTATACCATGATCTAAAAACATCTCTCCAAAACTGGTTTTTACATTTACTCATGCATAATTGTATATATTCACTACCCGATTTGCTAGCAAATCAGTATCAGTATGAGTTTTCAAGATAGCCTGCCATTTCTCAGTAGTTTGGAATAATCTTCTTATCCAACTTAATTTTAAAGAACAAATGAAAGCATCTATATTAATCATCTTTAGTCCTCCATTCACATAGTCTTGAATGATAGCATCTCTCTTGATTTTATCTGACCCACCATTCCATAAATATTGGAACAGGATAGAATTCAAATTTTTCAGAAAGTTTTCATTTGGATTTGGAAGTGAAATAAAAAGGTGATTAAACTGTGATACCAGCAGTGATTTATTTAAATGAATTCTACCAATAGGTGTTAAAGACCTTCTACTCCAGGTTTTTAGTAATGATTTTAGTTTAATAAGAATTTTTGTCAAAATTCATCTTTGGAATTTCATGAAGATTTAAACCAAACTCAATTCCCAAAAGTGTAAATTTGCTTCTACCCCACTGTAACTGGAGATTCGGTAAAAAGGTTTCTTCACTAAACTTTTTATTACCAATCCAAACTCCTTTGGTTTTTCTACATTAGTTTTCAATCCCGAAATTTTGGCATACTCATTAAGTTCATCAATTGCTTCTGTCAGAGATTTTTCTGATCCATCTAAGATAAGTGAGGTATCGTCTGCATATTGGGATACTAATATTGGACAATTATCAATTTCTATACCTTGAATGTTATCATTATTTCGTAATCTGAGGGCCAAAATTTCAACACAGAGTATAAATAAATATGGGGCGATCGGGTCCCCTTGACGACAACCACGTTTAATATTAAGAGCAGACGACAGATTACCGCCCTGATTAATGACTGAAAGCACTTTTATGTAAAGTTTAAACCCAAGATGAAATACTTTTACCAAATCCAAAGAAATTTAAGACTTTATCAATAAAAACCCAAGACACTGAATCAAAAGCTTTCTCAAAATCTAACGTCAGTAACATTCCAGGAATATCATTTCCTTCAGTATATTGCATTATATCATATATGAGCCTAGTGTTTATACCTATATACCGCCCTGAAAGAAAACCAGTTTGATCCCTATCTATCAATTTGTCCAAAACAATCATAATCCTACAAGTTATACTACCTGGTGCAATTTTGTAAACAATATTTAACAATTTCTAATAAAATGTCTGGGTTTATCTGCCTTTGGTATACAAGTAATAATTCCCTGCCTTTGAGTTATAGATAATTCCCCCCTATGATAACCATAATTAATTGATCTAACAACAAAATGCCCTAATTTTCTCCAAAACCATTTAAAAAATTCTGTTGTAAACCCATCACACCCTGGACTTTTTTTATTCTTCATGTGTTTTAATGTTTTAATTTCCTGATTTCTTGGTTACTTTATCATTTATTAATGTTTTTGTCTTCCTAAAATACTTCATACTTATATTACCGTACATGTATACATGTATACATCTGTACCGTAATTTCTTGTTACTACTGAAGATGGTAGTGTTAAGGATGTAGGCATTATAATATAAATAATGTACAAACTACCTCTTTAACTCATTCACCCCTGAAGACACATTTTAACTCTTCCAATTCAAATGTTGAAATAGTTCATCATAACATTTCAGGGGTGATTGAGTTAAATGCCAAATTTATAATAATTGAACATACATGTGTATCTTACTAAAATCTTCTTTACCAAACACCAACTTTACCGATGCCTAAGGTACAAAAATACCTCAGGTTACATTGTATTTAATTATGCAGTGTTGACAAAATGCACAAGAGAATACCAAAGTGTCAACAGAACCATGATTCGAACTCAAAATCGATAATACTAAAATACTAAAAATAGATAAAACTAGGTCAAAATATGAACAAATAAAGATTGACATGGGACACTAACACATACAAGGGAAACAAGTGGTCCAAAGGGCATATCCCGTCTTTTCGTATTGCAGAGTTATCTGCTCTTGATAGCAGGTATTGATTGTTACGTCATTTGTTTGTGTGAGTAACGTCATCATTTTTTGAGAAAACGACGTAATTTTCTCACACAAACTGCTGACGTAACAATCAATCCCTGCTCACAAGAGAAGATAACTCTGCAATACGCAAAGACGGAATATCGCTCAATTGGATGTTTAACTATCATGGGAAAATGTTCTCAATAAAAGTAATTTTGAAAATATTACCACATATTGAGTCTCCATGGCTTAAGAATGTTCCATTGTATATGAATGAGATCACTTAATCCGTACTGAAGGAGGAATTTATGGATTTATTTCTGGATACCTACATGTATATGGAGCCATGTCCTTCTGAACTTTCGGGAGTCAGATCCTCCGTTTAATCTGGCAAAATATCAGTATCCTGGGC